GTATGAATAAAGAATTGCAGCTATAGATTCGAGTGGCTAGAAACTTGATTCGAGAGCTATCTGTTTGACATTTTGAGAATTTTTGATATTCTAAAATAATTCTTATAATGCTTTTGTAAATGAAATGTTTGTAGTTCTGAAGTGTTGAGGTTCAGCTTTTGCAGTAATAAAGGACCTTGTTTTTCTATTATGCATTTGCTATAGTTTTAATCTTATTTTGAGAAAATGAGTTAAAAAATAATAGAAGTTTGATGTAAATTTTCTAAGTTGTATAAGTCCAATATATACAAACTGACCAATTAGGCACTCATTTGAAAGCTGTGAGATTAGTTGGAGACCTCTTTGCTCCGCCAGGCTCTTCTACATGTGAAGCATTTCAGCCAATATTTTTAAAATTTTTGAAAAGGTTGACTGATAGAGTCATTGGTGTTTGAATGCTTGTTCTTGAACATGTTAGGAGCTGTCTATTATCGGATCCTTCTAGATTAAGGCTCTTTAAATTATTTGTAAGTTTCTTTTATTTTTTTACATACGTATTCGAGTATTACTTTGCTAATTTTAGTATTGTTCTACATTTTCTAGCTGCCCTCTATGATCAGCTGTTAGACTATGATGAAAATGTTCAAAACCTAGTTGTCTCGTTAATTTTCTATCTTTTTTACAAGCAAGTTATCTAGATTATACAATTAAAATTTCAATTAAACTCTTTTTTTTTCTATTTCTAGCCCCAAATTAGAGGAAATCCCAATACATTTGACTATTTCATTATTAGTACTAACGCATGAGTGAATCTTGTAAGTGTTTTTATACTATATTTGTCAATTTTTGTGAGACTCATAGAAAGGGAAGAAGGGCAAGGGAACTTGCATTAACAAAACTTTAAGGAAGTCATTTCAATAGGGTTAGCATTAACTAGTGAAGTGATGCAGTTTGGTGTTTTGAGAAAATTTTTTATTATATGGACAAAATGTTCCTTGTGACTCTTACCTTGTTTTGAGATCTTCAAAATTCCTTAATGGTTATGCTTGCTTTCCATGTTATTTGAGTTGTTTAATTGTGTTTAGATAAATTCAAAGCAAGTGTTAAACTAATTTTTTTAACTCACAAACTGTACTCTGTACTTGAAACCATGAATTGAAAGGTGATAAATGGCATTGAAGTTTTAACCATGTCAGTTTTATCTAAACTATGTTTCATTGAGTGATCAGTTCATAGTTTCAGGATTCAGAAACTTATTTCTTCTACCATTTGATCTGTTTCACTTTTAATTTGGATGAATTTTTGGCATAATTCTTTTTATGTTCTTAATGCAATTAGTGTAAAAAACTTTTATTTTCTTTTTCATTTGACAATCCTTCTTTTTTTCTAAAAAAAAGCTAATTTTTTTTTCACAATTCCTTTTTTTTTTTTTCATTTATGCTAATTACCTAACTACTTTATGATTTTGTTTTCCATATAAAGACATTTATTTGACATTTTACGAATTTTTGATATTCTAAAATAATTCTTATAATGTTTTTGTTGATGAAATATTTATAGTTCTGAAGTGTTTAGGTTCAACTTTTGTAGTAATAAGGGACCTTGTTTTTCCATTATGGATTTGCCATAGTTTTAATCTTATTTTGAGAAGATGAGTTAAAAGATGATAGAAGTTTGATGAAAATTTTTTAAATTTCATAAGTCCAATATCTACAGACTAACCAATTAGACACTCATTTGAGAGATGTGAGATTAGTTGGAGAACTCTTTACTCTACTAGGCTCTTATATATGTGAAGCATTTTTAGCCAATATTTTAAGAATTTTTTAAAAAGTTGACTGATAGAGTTGTTGGTGTTCAAATATATGTTCTTGAACATGTTAAAAGCTTTCTATTATTGGATCCCTTCATATTTGAGGCTCCTCAAATTATGTATAACTTTATTTTGTTTTTCTACATATGTATTCGAGTGTTACTTTGCTAATTTTGGTATTGTTCTACATTTTTTAGCTACCCTATGTGATCGACTGTTAGACTATGATGAAAATTTTCAAAAGCTAGTTGTCTCATTAATTTTCTATCTTTTTTGCAGCCAAGTTATCTAGACTATAAAGTTGAAATTTCAATTAAACTCATTCTTTTTTTTTTTAATTTTTGGCCCTAAATTAGAGAAAATGCCAATATATTTGACTATTTCATTATTAGTAATAATGCATGAGTGAATCTTGCCAGTGTTTTTATGCTATATTTGTTAGTTTCTGTGAGACTCATAGAAGATGAAGAAAGGCAAGGGAAATTGCATTAATAGGACTTAAGGAAGCCATTTTAATATGGTTAGCATTAACTTGTGAAGTGATGCAGTTTGGTGTTTTGAGAAAATTTTCTATTATATGGATAAAATGTTCTTTGTAACTCTTACCTTATTTTGAGATCTTCAAAATTCCTTAATGGTTATGCTTGTTTTTCATGGTATTTGAGTTGCTTAGTTGTGTTTAGATAAGTTCATAGCAAGTGTTGAACTGATTTCTTTAACTCATCAATTGTACTCTGTACTGGAAACCATGAATTGAAATGTGATGAATGGCATTGAAGTTTTAACCATGTCAGTTTTATCTAACCTATGTTTCATTGAGCGATCAGTTCATAGTTTCAGGATTCAGAAACTTATTTCTTTTTATAATTTGATCTGTTTCACTTTTAATTTAGATGGATTTTTAGCATAATTCTTTTTATGTTCTTGATGTAATCGATGTAAAAAAACATTTATTCTTTTTTTCACTTGACAATCTTTTTTTTTAAAGCTAATTTTTTTCACAATTCTCTTTTTTTTTTTTAATTTCATTTCTGCTAATTACCTAACTACTTTAAGATTTTGTTTTCCACGCGAAGACATATATATTTGACGTTTTGAGAATTTTTTATTCTAAAATAATTCTTATAATGCTTTTGTGGATGAAATGTTTGTAGTTCTGACGTGTTTAGGTTCAACTTTTGTAGTAATAAGGGACCTTGTTTTTTTATTATGGATTTACCATAGTTTTAATCTTATTTTGAAATGATGAGTTAAAAGATGATAAAAATTGGATGAAAATTTTCTGAGGTGTATAAGTCTAATACCTGCAAACTAACTAATTAGACACTCATTTGAGAGCTGTGAGATTGGTTGGAGACCTCTTTATTTTGCTAGGCTCTTTTATATGTGAAACATTTCAACCAATATTTTCAGAATTTTTGAAAAGGTTGGCTGATAGAGTTGTTAGTATTCGAATGTATGTTCTTGAACATGTTAAAAGCTGTTTGTTGTTGAATCCTTCCAGATTTGAGGCTCCTCAAATTATTTGTTAGTTTTTTTTTTTTTTACATGTGTTAATTCCCATAGAAAGAAAGAAATATGCATTTTAATAACATGGTGTGAAAATGATAATATGACAGTTAGTAATAGAAAATGATAATCTACTGCTTTCTTCTAATAAATTGATTATGGCCTTATCAGTTAGTAATAGAAATCTTGTTTCTTTTTGTAATCTCATTGAAGTTCCAAAAGTGATCTCTAACATACAGTATATAAAAGCTCATTTGCATACTGTATTGCTTTACATGTTCTTGGCATTCTGTTCTATTCATTTACTTGAGTGCAATAAAAAAAAAGTCAAAATTAAACTAAGAAAGCTTACCTAAACAAAATATAAAAGAAAAAATAAATTCACCTAAAATGAAATAGCAATAAAAGAGTAATGTTAAAGTATGTGAAAAGATGAAATATTGTTTGAAAAGAAATTAAATGGAAATACGGTAAAGAATCAAGCTATATAATAGATAGATTTTATTTAAATAATAAATTTATCTATAATAATATCTAATCAGATAATAATATTTAAATTTTAGTATTTTATATCTTTATTTGATATTTTTTTTTATGTTTTATATCTTGATACTTTTATCTGATATTACATTAGTCATTATCGCATACAACCATTTAAAAATAATAAGTTAGAACACTCGCACTTGTCTTATTTTCTTTAAGCATTTTTTTTATAAAAAAATTTATTTTACGTAATTTTGATAACTTTTAAATGTAATACACTTACTTTACTATTAGCAAAGTGGCTGCCCTAACACAAGTTCATGCTTTGCCCACTATTTTCATTTTTTTTATCTAGCAAAGCATGCCCCAATTATATGTATAAAAAGCAAAATACTTATCAAGGCTTAAAACAATAAAATATATAAATATTTTTTATTTAAGTAGCTTATGAGTAACATGATTAAAGATTTATTAATTGTTTTAACATGAAAAACATAATTTTTATTTTTATTTTTTTGGCATAATGAAATATATAAAATATTTTTGTGGATACATACACGAGAAAAACATATATAATACATATTTTGATTAATTGTCCCCAAATTTAGATGCATTAATATTTTATAGTTTAATTTAAGTTTGTTATAGTAATTAAATACTCATGTTAATTATAGATAAATTAAAAAAAATTAATTATTTAAAAATTAATTTTAAAATAAGATAAAGTGATATACAAGATAAAAGAATTTCATTATAATTTAAATTGATTTTTGATTAAATTTTAAAATTTTAGATAATTTAATAATTTTGAAAATATATATTTTTATAAATAATTTAAAATTAATAAATATATTATATATTATCATAATGAAAAATTTTAAAATTTATCTTGCGTATCAAAAAAAAATTATTCACATAAACTTTTACCTCAATAATTACTATATGATAACTATGTATATTATAATATAATATTATATATATATATATATATGATTAGCAAATTATGTATATATATATAATATATATGATTAGCAAATTATGTATTAATATATGGTAATTTCATAGTCACCTGCCATAGCATATCCAACGAACGGTGACGATGAAGCACCAAACAACCAATAAGAATCCGTGTCCCCAGGGAAACAATGTGGTCAATCTCACAGGGTATTAAACCTAAGCATCCCATGGCAGACCCAAGGCAATCAATGAACGAGAAGTACGGACTAGGACTAGGAAAAGAAAACCAAAAAGAAATATCTCTGCCTTTGCCTTGGCCATGTCCGAGAGACAAAACAGAGAGAGAAACCATCAACAACGTTTAGAGTTGTGTCTCTCTGAACGTGTCAACCAAATCTTCATCCTTATATATTCTCTCATTCCCTTTCTTTGTTTGTTTCATGATTTTAGGGCCTCTCCGTTGAATCTAATCTCCAGAAGCAATAGAGGATTTCATTCCAATCTTTTTTAAAACTACCCATTTCTTCTTTTCTTTTTTTTTTTCAAGGAAAAATAAATCAAAATCCATTTTTTTTCAGAGAAAGAGATTCCAATTCTGCTGCTTTTATCTCTCTGTCTTGTCCCTAGACATGTCTTGCCGTTTCAAGGTAAGAAATGGAAAAATCCATAGCAACCGACATTTTATTTTGCTATATTTGAGATGATTTAATGGTAGTTAAGGTTATTAATCCTCTTTTGTAGATATAATAACTACTATATTATTATTACCTGCTTTTTTTGTTGATTTTTTTTTTTTTTTGAAAAAGAAGATAAGAATAGGAAAAAAGTTGCTTTTATGGGCAAAGGGTTCTGCTTTTTTTGACAGAAAACAATACCAATGTCTTTTTTTATGCTTAATCCATTGTCTCTCATGCACACACTCTCAGTCCTCTGCTCGGTTGCTGGGAAAGGTGGAGAAAGGCTGAGGAAAATCTTTTAGCAGTGATTTTATCCTACTCGAACTGTTAAACTCTTTGACATAGCTAACTTTGGTGAGATTTTCTGCCTCCCATAATCCAAGTTAGAAAGCTTTAATTTATCTGTCTTTTGCTTTCATGTTCTTCAGCAAACAAATAGAGGCTGGATTGTTCCATGCCTTTCCATGTTGCATTTTTATTCCTTTCTTATATAATTCTGTCTTTTAATAGAGATGAGATAAAACAATAACGAGTGCCATCATCCTTTTTCACTTTTTTTATTTGGATATGTACTATTGTTGTTGCAGGAATAAGTTTGGTTTTGATTGAAGTAGCTTTGGAATGGAAGGTGATATATTTTCAGGATTTGGTAATGGAACTCAAGTAGATGTTAAGGTTTTGCAGACATTTCAAAAGAGTTTTGTGCAAGTTCAAGACATCCTAGATCAAAATAGGTTGCTAATCAATGAGATTAACCAAAACCATGAGTCAAAGATGCCTGATAACTTGAGCAGGAATGTGGGATTAATTAAAGAGTTGAATAACAATATTAAAAGAGTTGTTGATCTCTATGCCGATCTCTCAAGCTCTTTCACCAGGTCAATGGAGGCTTCATCAGAAGGTGACTCTGCTGGGACATTCAAATCTGATGGAAAAGTTAGTCAGAAGAGAATTAGATCTGAGTAAATTTGATCAAACTCGGCTTTTGGTACAAATTATGTTCTCTTTCACTGTGGAATAAAAGGAGTATTTTGATACTGAAGTGAAAAAAAAAAAAAAATTGATAGTATTCTGTAACTCTTTTAATGAAAGTGTGAAGAGCATCTGAGGTTTTGAAGCTTCAGCATAATCCCCAGTCTTCACATTTTCCATTACAAAAACATCCCAGAAATTTACCATTTGTAATCATGTTGACTTAGTCAGCATCTTTAATTATTGTTTAATGGACCTGGTGTGAGTGCTTAACTGTCATTTAAAAACAGTTTTGAAACATTTTCAGTTCCAGTTCCACTGATCCTTTTATTTTCATTTATTAAGAGAGTTGATCTGCCATTGATGGGAACCTTCAACAACCCTACTTTATTCTTTTCCTATGTTTGTCAAAAGAGATCCCTTATTGTGTCTTGTACATTGCAGTGAAGGGTTGGTATATACAGTTTTTATAACCCACAGATTGGAAGTTCTTTAAGTTCAGAGGCTCATTTTCATAATTTCATGATTCTCTCAGCTTTGTGTCTCTGTGGGGAACTGAGTAAATTAGTAACAAATAATTCTGCAATGATCTTTGAGAATTATTTGCCTTTTTTGGTTGAAGATGTTGTGGGACAAGTTGAAGAGAGCAGCTTTAGATTTAAGTTCATAGTTCATTTTGATTGAAACACCATAAAGCTTAAACACCAAATTGGAGATGATGACTGTCCTTTTGACTACTATATTGTCCTAATCAATCCCAATTCCTTTCTTTTGAGAAAAAGATGAGGTAATTGAGAGGCAGATTCATCCAATGAAGTAACGTGTTTGGCAACACTTAAAAAATTAAAAAAAAAAAAAAGAAAATTTTAAAAAATTTTAGACACTTTAAAATTTTTTATTTATAAATTTTCTTAGTGATAAATAAATTTTAAAATTTTTAACATGATTTTTTAATTATAAATTTATTAATCAATATGATACTTATTCTTAACGTGATTAATTTTAAATAATGACATACGATGAATAAATAATTATTAAAATATCACATTAATTAATCAATTTATAGTTTAACTATTACATTAAAAATATTTAAAATTTAAATATTACATTAAATATTTTATTATACCCTAAAAATTATTCATAATATTAACTTAAAATAAAAAAAAAAAAAAAGAAATGGACATTGTTGACATGGTGTCACTCCAATTAACAGACCAAGTGAAGTAAAAACTTGTAATAATCAACAAATCAAGGAGATTGTCCCAAAAAGCTTTGATTGTGGGCACTCTTGCACTATGATTAAAGACTAAAGTTTAATCCGCGGATATTTGCTAGAGCCTTGTCCTTGTTGACTGCTTTTTCTACACACAAAATTTGACCTTACATCCATTTTCCAGCCAACCAATGTTGGCGAATGATCAAATTCTTTCTGGCATCTGGAGGAAGTTCCAGCAATTCAATTCAATAGCTGATCATACATTTTAAAGCAGATTTGCATATTGCTTTTGTTAAGGTGATCATTAAAGATTAGATCAGTCTAAAAAAAGGAGATCAACTATGCCTTGAGACAGTGACAATATCAAAATCAGACAGCATCGTCTGAAACATGTGATCAGAATATATAACCTACCACTACTACTACTAGTAGTTTTAGTTTGCTCCTTCCACTTTCTTCTTTTGCATTGGGCATAACAATGATGCCTTCAGCCTTCGATCATTTTTTTTAGAAAGGACTTTTAGATAGTGGATCACAGATAATCAGATATGGTATTAAACTTTGCAGCATCCTGAACAATAAATCAATACCTATATTAAAAAGGTTAGGCTGATTAGATTAAGAAAAAGATGACTTAATTGATAAGATCGTTTTTCTTGACGTATGTGATTTCATATTTGAGTTCAATTGATGGTATTTTATTAGGATCATATCGAATACAAGACTTATAGTTAAGTTACTATTTTTTAAATTATCGAATATAATACATTTTATTTTCATACGAGAAATTAAACAATTTCTTTACCTCTAAAATTTTTATGAGAAAAAAAAAAGTTGGGCTGATTAGCACTATCTGTCAGGTTCATGTAGCTGGCGTCAATGCATCAAATAAATATGAAATTGAAGGTTTCTTTTTTGCTTTTTTGATTTAAGAAAAACGATTCAAAACTTATTTTTTGAACAAGAAAATCAAAGTCAATTTTATGCTAAAAAAAGATAACGTGAATCAATATTCCAAAGGCAAAGATAACTTTTTTTTTTTTCTGCATTGTGGAAAAGATAAAGGTAATGTCGCAAATTAAAGATTTTTGGCTTTTAAAAAGCTGGGGCATGCTCTCCACATGAAGTGGAGGAATCAGACAATAAAAGAATGTAAAGATTGTGTCCGTACTCCATTGTATCCTTCTGTGTTTCTGTTCCCTTCCATTTTTTTGTTCATTTATTATTAATTTACATTGCACTAAAAGAGTTCACTTTTGTTGACTGTTAATAGTAGTATTGTTATATTGAAGGACATGGTGGGAAGAAGAAGGATGCTTTTATTTATGTTCAAGCAAAAGATGCTCATTCCACCATTGACTCCAAAACTGTGACAACACACTGAAAATTCTAAGGCCATTTTCCTGCCTAAAATCATGCCCATTGCTGCCCCCAGCATCTTGCTTGAAAACTTTGTTTCCAACAAACTAAGCACCTAACCAAAATATGCAACGGACATCATGGCGTAACAAGAATTTCTCCCACGGCGCTGTCAAATAAATCTTTAATCATGCAACAACTTCTCACATATGGATTATCTACTCTTTCAACGTTCACATGAAAACTCTCATGTATACCCTTTGGCTCCAAATTATGTGGGGTCTTTCAAAATTATAGCCAAGAATTCAAAGTTGTTCTAACCTAATAGTAAATAATGATTAAGATAGTTTTTTTTTTTAAGTATTTAGAATTTGAGATTTTCAATTGAAAAGTATCATATTGAATCTTTAAATGAAGTGGACTTTCATTTAAGTCTAAATTTTCAAGCTAAAAGTTGTAGTAATAAATAAAAAATGAAAACAGAATGTTGAACACGTCACTTGCCATGAGATTCATGATGGCTTCTTTAGGTCAAATCTTTCAGTTTGCCTTCAAAATCAGCATTCATACCATTGTCATGTAAAATTGCAGTACACCAACTTCAATGTAAACTTTTGCAGTCCAAAAGCAGGACAAACAAATTTACTAATAACCAACTTACTGAAAACTTCATAGGAAAAAGAAAAAAAAAATTCAAAACAAACAAATGGGTGCACTTGGTATTTGGGTTGAATATGGTCATGGTAGCTGCAGCTCTGTTTTTTCCATCATTGTAGTCAAACACTCTTTCCAATCTGAAACCTTCCCTCTGCTCCATGGACAACCTATTTTCACACAGAAAATTGTACACATCAATAACTTGGTTGCCAATTGAAACCAAAGGATGGAAAGAAAAGGACAATTGGCAAAGAGAAAATAAATAAGAAAAAAGTGGTTTGAAATATTGAAATGTTTGTGCATAAATATTTACTTATTCTGTTTCTTTTCATGCATTGCCTTTTGAAGAGTTCCACTGCACATTGTACAGATATGCTTTTGTTCCCACTTCAATTCAGACATCATTTTGTTGATGAGTACCTTTTTTTTATTCCAATGACTTAAATCTTTTTGTTTGTTTTTAAGGAATTTATAACTCAAGTACTCTTAAAAAGCAAGCTAGAATTTATGATAAAATTTTTGTGGTACAAAAGAAGCCACAGCATGAAAAGGAAATGGTTGCAGGTGTTAGAATTTGAATTCCTTGTTAGATGCACCTCTTAAGAGTGGTTATATAAACCAATTGAGTTAAGTTTTGGATTCAATCTCTAATAAAATTTGAGATTTATAATGGCAATGACTAAATTCAGCTTGCAGTTGAATGAAAAAGAAAAAAATTTGAGACCACTAATTGCTCTAGAATTACCAAGATAGATAGCTCAAACTAGTCTACCTTTAATTCCTGAAATAAAAGAATGAAAGATAGCAGAGAGTTGTCTCAGAACCTTTGACTAGAAAGTAGCAGTGGGAAGAACTATTCAGTGAATGACTAGATATTTTAGGGGTATGTTTTTTGTCCCCTTAATAGATGCAGACATGATTATTCACAGACCTCAAATGTGAATCTTGCTTGTGGAACTACTTCAAGTGCTTCCACGCATATAGATGCAGCATCCTCCGTGCTAAGGCGTCCACTTGATGCACTACCCTGTCAATGGCCGCTTAGCACTTCTGTCTGGATCTATTACAATGAAAAGATTGTTTTTTGTGTCCTCCAATTCAGCAAACAGACTCATTCCAGTTCGAAGATTTTAAAGAATCAAGAAACAGGCTTCATTAAGTGATTGAAAGAGCATTTGAGAAACATTTTTAAAGTTTATTTTCTTTTTATTGGTCACTGACTCTGCTGTATATGTTGCTCAAATTTCTAGTTAACTTCAACAAGACTAAACCTCTTCAAAGTTGAAACCCTGTGTTCCTCCAGGAGTGTATTGCAACATTCCTGCTATAATTAGGGTATATGGAATTCCTCAAGCCATCAATATCGTTTCATCTTTCTCAGCTAATTTTCTCGGATTGTTTGTCATGAGAGCTTGAATGCCACTGCTAGCTCCATAAACAGACAACTGCAACCTTTGTAAACCACAATCATGTAGAAACACTGTCTAAAGCCTATTGTTTACACTAACATGCTCGACGGGGGGAGAGGGAGAGAGAGTACCTAAAACAAGAGAATTATATATTCAACACCTTTCAAGCTTTCAATACTAGATAAGAAACCTGCATGCAAGACAAGAAAAAGGAAATTTAGTGAATGTTAATGGCGATTGAAGCACCAATAGCAATTTTGTTAAATTTCTTCAAATACATAATGTAGGAAAGCAGTAAAGCACTAAGTGGAAAGCAAAGTTGGAACTTCGCAACAAGAATGACTAAATTTGCCCACAATTTTCAGTAGTCATGCACACATGTATATGTAGTCTGCAAGTTTTATTGGTGCAAAAGAGGTACAACCTAGGGATAGGGAAATTGGGTTGAAGGTGCTGAGATTTGAAGATCAAACCTGCTAAAAGCCACCTCTTAATGGTTGCTGCATGAACCGACTACAGAGTTAAGCTCCGAGTTTTATGTAGTCTGCAAGTTTTACTCAACCATTTGGAATCTCCAGTTCTCTATCTGTCTCACTAAGAATATCCTAATGGAAAAGATGGAGAAACTGGCTACCATTATATAAATATGTTGATTTGTAGCAATGTACAGGTAAGGATTGAACAAGACAGGTCAGAGATACACATACATTTGGCCATATGATTGAGCGAACTCCTCGGAGAGCTTTCTTTACAAATATCTTGTTACTTTTATCTCCAGAAATTTACTGCAAAAACAACAGAACAACATTCCATAAGGAAAAAAAAAAAGGAAAGAAAAGAGATGCTATCATGACTGCAAAACCCACTCACTCACTGAAGTTCTATCAACTCACCTCAACATAAGCTCCAAATGCCTCATTAGCTGCACGCTTATCCTTCACCAATGCTTTTATTCAAGTTCGTTTGACAATCAATGACAATATCACCATATACATATATAAAAGTCACAATCAAGCTCAAAATGCATTAACCGTCAGGGAGTTAAAAAGACTATAAGATCGTACATGAAACGAAAAAACTTACTTGCCCAATTTCAGTACTCCCAGCTGTTAATAAATCTGCATCCCTGACTTTATCTTCTGAAAATTTAAGAGAATAGTGTATCATTACTTCTTCCTCTCTAAGAACTAAAAATAATAATATCTTTCCGGTTTCCATAACAGTAGACACTTGACAATTTGTGTAGAATATGTAAAACATAAAAATTAGCATTATAATTTCGTGTTTCAAATACAAAACATATTTTTTTAATTTTTAATAAATTCATATATGATTTTTCTTAATTTTTAAGTGGTATAACTTTTGTGTTTTTATAACTTCTGTATTATTTTTGTATTGTGTAATTAAAATTTCCAGGTCTACAAAACATATTACCGGGATAATCCTACTCCCCTTCCACGATAGATCCATCTTTCGGTAGTAGATCAGGTGCCCCATACCATTTACTTAACTTGGGACCCCCTGTAAACCAATGCAACCCAAGATAAAAGCAAAGTAGTGAACTTGTAATAGTGAATATCTAGGCTAAGCATATTAGGAAAAGAACATGACTAAAACCTTCAATATAATCGAGAATTTGATCCACAAATCCGATCTTCTTCTTGGCGGAGCAGCGGGAAGAGTTCGTTTCCTGATGTCTACGAGGAAAGAAGAATTCAGGGTTCTCCAAGGATTCTGGGAAGGGAAAAATAGATGAGTTTGGCCAAGTATTTCGTCTATTCTTCTCTTCTTAACCAACCGTTTCCATGTCCGTTAATGCGGATAAGAGAGGTTTTAAACATGCCTTTATATATATATATATATATATATATATGTACCGATTTTTTTATTTTTAAATAAAATTATTTTTTAATTTTAATTTTAAAAATTTTACATATACAATTTCGATAAATTATATAATTTATTGATTATACATTCTAACCATATATATTTTTGAAAAATTATATAATTTAATAAAAATTTATATCCTATAAATTATATAATTTATTAAAATTTTATATCTATTAAATTAAAAAATATCTTATAAAAATTTTTAAATTTTCGAATTACATAATTAGAAACTTTTAAAAACTTTTAAATATGTAAATTAAAATTTTAAAAATTGAGGGATAAAAAAATAATTTAATAATTTTATTTAAAAATATTTTAAAAAGTGCGAAGAAAATAGAATCACCTTACAGTAACTCTACCTGTTGACGTTTCAAATTTCATGTCTACCCCTGGACTGGTCAAACTTTTTTCTGGGACCCCACATGACCTGAATTCAATCAGAACCGTTGGGATTCTCAAATTGAGATCCTTACCGTTTGATCTTCCCATTAAATGCACCGCAACCTGCCTCATTTTTATACGGTTTTTTATTCGATTTTCTGCTCTTCCAGTTTGATCCACCGTCACCGCCAGTTGGTCACCCAGATCAGCAAAAACGAAAGGTAAAAAATTTCAATCAGACCCATGTTTTATAACAATAGTTAGTTTCCAAGGAATTTCCCCACGTTTGATTTCAAGGGCTTGACGAGAGGTTGCTGTGACAATGGAATTTAATGGTTTTCTTCCCTTGTTAGCATCAGTATTACTCCTTCCTTTCCCAATAATGATGGGTTAAGGGGATCCTCAATGATGCTTATATAAAAATTTGGAGTTTTGTTAGTCTCTCTGAACTATATTTATTCAAGTTCTTGGAGTTCGGGAACTCCTACATCTTCGTATTTGCTTTGTCTTCGTTATGTTTGTTTGTTTTTTTTTTTTTTTTTTGTACGCACATACACACATCTACGTACATAAGTATGCACTTAGATGACATTAGCGTAAAACATTTTCAAGAAAAGAATTGAAAAATGTAAGTATCATATTGAAGTTTTCAAATTGAAGTTTTCAATTGGACCCTTGAAGAATCTAGGGCTTGTATTTTATATTTAGTTTTTGTTTTTTAATGACCTTGTTAATGTAATTTCTGGTATGCTAGTTGAGTAAGCGCTTACCGGCAGCTGAGGTGGGGAGCATGAAGGATTTGTCATAGGAAAAAGATTAGGGGGCGTCGGAGAATGACGTGAATAATCATGTCACATGTCTAATCTGTTTTTTTTTTAATATCTCATGGAGGATGGACGTGAATAATCATGTGCAATGTGATCATTAAAATATAACAGACCTGTTTTTTGTATTGCTCTTTTATTTATTATGTAGAGGCGGGCAAGGGGAATGAGGTATGAACAGACATTCTATTCATCGCTTAGCCTTAATGGGTAATAATGATAAAAGTTATGTCTTCTTGGGAAGAACATTTTGTTTAACCTCATGCAGGTTATTGTTAGTGGAAATTAAGCTTGGGGCTTGTCTTGTCTTGCCAACTGTTTTCATTGCTTGTTGTCTATCAATTGATTTCTTACTGTATTTTCTTGTGTAATCTTTGTAGGGTGTTCTTGGCCTTAGGGTAATTTCATACTTGATTATTGGGGTGATGTGATCCCAAGGTAAGCAAAGTATCTACTAGATTGCTACCAGATTTCATCACCATCCACCCGGTACCCGCCCAAGCAACAAGAAGAATATCACCCCATGTCACCATTACTGGCAACTGAGATATATAAAGGTTGGGAGCAGCATAGTTTGTGGGTTTCTTTTAGGTTTCATCTGGTCTAGTGAGTGCAAAGGAAATATTGATGCAGGGAGGTGGTATTTTCCTCTAGAAATTGGAGATTTTTGTTGTAATTCCTTAGAGATGTTATTAATTTGCAGTTAGTGATTTTATGGCTGCATTTGGAAGCCATCAATGCCTCCATTATAGTTGCAGCCTAAGTCTCAATGGAAACCATTTTTTCCATTGCTGCTCTAGGCTCTAGCTTTAATTAATGTCAGTCCCAGCGGGCCTTTATGCAGTCATTAGTTTAGATAAATAAATAAGGTTTAATTAAAAAAATTAAGATTGACCTTGAATTTCATCATTTAAGGTTTTGGTCAGATTTAAATTTGGTTCAAAAATTAAAATTTTTTTTTATCATAATAGAATAAAGTTTACTTGTTTTATTTTTTATAATATGGATAAAGTTTATTTATTTTTTTATTAGATAAAATTTATTTTTTTATGTGAAATAATAATTTAATTTTAAATTATATTTAATAAAATTAAATTAAATTTAAACTCAAATAATTCATAAATTTAATTAAAATTAATTAAATTTATAATTTATAATTTTTTTAAAAATTTAAAATATCAATATTTTAGACGAATAGAACTTTATTGTTATATACGTCGGAATAAATTTGAATAAAAAATAAAACCTCAAAAATCTGATGGGTCCATTAGCAGGTTTATTCAGGATCATACGCCATTTTATAAAAGACAATTGACGGAAATATTCGAATGCGGAACTGTAGGACGGTAAACACAGCGTACTGAAAAAGCAAGCGAAAAGGGGAACTGTGACCAAAAGCATACAAATTTCGAATCCTAAAATTTTATCTTATTCTCCAAGTTTCTCTCTCATTCTTCATTAACTCGTTTTGTCAACTCAAATTTTCACGCTTCTAACTCGCTCCAAATCGGTCCCTTTCAGTCCGTTTTTTGTGTTCATCGTTTGGAGAGGCTGAGTCAACTCGGTCAGCAATCACAATCCTATGGTGAGTCAAACTTCATTTTTTTCCTTTAAATTTCGTTCATTTCCCATTCTGTCAACTTAAAATGCAATTTTTTTATTAATTAAAGAAATATCTGAACTTTTTATGTGTTCTTTTCTTTTTCCTTTTTTATGTATGGAAATACAGCTACTTACAGAACGAGCTTATTTTGCTTTAGGTTGTTAGGTTTTGAGAATTAGGGTTTCAATTCGTCGAAATTTGGGAATTTTGGTGCGTAAAGGGAGCTGTCACATAATGACTGTGACGTGTTGAAACCAGATTAATGGAGATAAGAAGAAGAAAATAAGATTGATAGAGGAACGGAGAATATAGAAGAAGAGACCAGAAACAGAAACAGAAACAGGATAAAGAAAAGTTCAGAAGGAGAATATAGAGGAAATGAGGAAATAGTATTTTCATTCATAATGCATTCAGTACATTGTAGTCCTATATCGGCCAAAAATGACAATTCATCATGTGCTAATTACAAGGAATCGTTTATAACAATCTAATACAATTGTAAGTAGCTTTTCCTTATTTACCACCTCATGCACTGTCAATCCAATTCCAACTGTCTTGTTAGCCTTTTTTGTCTTTTTCTTCCTTCCAGAATCTACCACCTTCAGGTCCCGTGTGCAGTACCCCTGATCAACCAGCCCTTGAGCTTCATTCTTTGCTATGCCAGCTTCTATCACTGTAACAGCAGCTTCATTCCTTTCTGTTCCAGCTTTCATCATTGTAACAACAGCCCATTTCATCGCAGGAGCTATTATAGTTACTTTTGAATAAAGATGGCAATTTAATGTATTTGTTGGGTTCATTACGTTTTACTTTGAAATACAATTCTTGTTGGATTAGATTGTAATATTCTAGGCGTGTGTTAAAATTTGGACTATTTTGAGTGAATTTGGTAATCAATTCAAGAAACTAGGCTACTAGATTGTTTCTAATAAATTATATCAAAATGGGAACTACAAAATTTGAATTTTGTTTGCTGTGTTGCTTGTGTTCCCATGCATGAATGAAGTTTTCATTTTGACTTGGCAAAAAAAATTGATGTGTCTATTCATTGGGCTATTTTTTGGTTTTGGTTTTGGTTTCCAGTTTTTGTTTTTGAGCTGCCTTTTTAGGATTTTCCATGGAAACAGTGGTTAAAGTTGAGGGGGGTGATGAAGGGAAATTTGAAGAGACTGGCCTTGAGAAAAGTAACTTGATTTTATCTTCACCAAAGCATGTTGCTGATCCAGTTGTTTACAAGCTTGTTCGGGTATCTCTTTCTGCAAATGATATTCTACTTATTTTATCCTACTGATGTATAAAGAACATGTGCCTTTTGGCTACTTTTTTTCGTAAGAATGTTGACTTGGATTTGCTTTAGTTTGATATTTGAGCTACATTAATGTAAAGTATTAATGTAGAAGTCATTTGACTGTTTGTCGGATAAAAGATTTTAAAAGTGTTATAAGTATGGGTTTTCTACACTACCTGTCTTTGAATATTGGTCATTCAGAAAGCATCATGTTTGTGGGCTAGATTAGCTGGTTCGAGAAAGACAAATTAATGTGGTGACTATCTATCATCAATTCATTTAGAAAATAATAACATGTAGAAATTGGTTGAATTACAAGGTTAGAATCTCCTGAAGTGGAGGTTGGATTAAGTTAAAATGATGCAGACATATCAACATATTATTTAGAAGGGAGTAATATATTTATGAATTATGATCAGTGTATAAACTATAGATTTCTAGCAGGAAATATCATATTTTTAATGTAATATTCATTTTTTTTGCTATAGCTGGTAGTCAGGATTGAGCTTTTGCTTAGTAAAACAAGTTAATGTCAGGTAACAACTTGACCTGCATTGATTAGCTTGAATCACTTTTTTGAAGTATGCATGGTTACCAAGTTTGTTTAATAAAAGGGGTGATGCTTTTAAATATCTGAATGAGAAGGATATATCCTTTTATATAAAAAGAAAAAACACTTTTAGCTCCTTCTGCTGATTTTGAAAATGTTATTCACACATAGTGGTCTTCACTCTACAAACACACAGGTCACTTGAGTTTTGCCAAAAGAATCGAAGCATTCAACCTTTTATATGATTGATAAATATAGGTGATCAATAATGATGATAAAGCAAAAATAATTTTGAAGTTCCTAGTTTAATGCTATGCTAAAAATATGGACATGTAGCTTCAGGTTTGATTGATTCTTATTTGCAATCTTAAATTGAAATTATGTCATATAGGTTGAGGGGGATGGGAGATTAGTGCCTGCGACGGATGATGAACTCATGGAGGTTGAGGGTTTGCTAGAAAATGAGAAGTGTGAAACCCAAATTGTTGCAGACACTGGGCATGTTTTAGGGTGCACTTCTAATGAAGTGTCATCACCAGGCATGCCTCAGTTAGGAAGCTCGGAAGGTACGATTTTCTTAGCCCTACATCATGAAAAATTTTTACACCTATTAAAATAGGATAAGAAAGTCTATCTCTGCTGATTGTGACTAGAGAATTGGGAATTCTTAATTCACTGAGCTTGTGACTTTAATTGTATTTTTATCTGTACTGACGGTCTGGGCTGATCATTTTGCATGCTTCTCGTGCATTTCTGTTCTCTTTCATAAATTTTTCTGTTTTTATCAACTTTTAATTATGCATATTACATCTATCCATGATATGCATAAATAATAAAATTAAAAGCTGGCAAATGTCAGTTAGGTATTGTCAGAATAATGAAGACTTATACAAGAGAAAATCCCTAGAGATACGCAATGCTCATGGAATCAGCTAAACCAAGAACAGAAAACAAGTAGATTCACAAACAGTCATTTGATGACAAAAATATGAGCAATACAGTATTGGAAAAGGCTTACTTGAAAATCTTGCTTTGTATTTGAAGATGCGGTGTTCTTCAAATTATTGATTTTTGATGTTGCTTCTGGTCTTGCCGTCCCAACTTTTATGCTCACGGGATGGACACTTGCACGTATGTTTTGTTGTGATATTTTATATATTTTAATTTTCTGAATGATTAATACTTGCCAGGCTTGTCACATTCTGAGATCACCGAAGCTGATACTGAGAAATTAAGTGCACGCATTGAGGTATTTCCAACTTTCACTAAACTTGGGTTCTTAACTTACTTCAAATGGATTACTGGATGCTTATCATGTTTTCATGTTAAAGATTACTTAGGCCTTGATCTTCTCTGATTTTTCTCTTGAACACTTTGTCAAAGCTTTATTTTGAATTTGAGAAGGAAGTTTATGTTGATATTTTGCTGATGGATTCCGATGCTTTAGGAGGGCCTTAATTCTTAATTTTTGGCAATTATACTCCAGTTTTAGTGGAAACTATCTTCGTGGAATACACAGAGCTTGTGTCTGGTGAGGATGACTGTCTAGTTGTTAAAGTTATCTGTTCTAACATTTCTTGCATTATTTTTACCTATCCTTTTTTTTTTTTTGAAGAAAATGAGAAAATCAAACCTACTTCTAGTTTTTTCAATGTTATATTTAAGTCGAATAATCTGACATAGGGTTAAAGATTTTTTCATATACTCCTGTCAGTATCTTTTTCAAAATTTTAAATGTGTAATAATTTAGCAGCTACTTGCTAACTAATAAAAAGGGGTTAACAGTTTGTATCTAAAGAGAACAATGTTATCTTTGGGGTGAAGGATAGGAGGGAGGGATGGTATCTACTCCTTGAAATTTGTATTCTCTATAGTTTTTAGGTTCTTTTATCTCACTGGTTTTGATCTTCCATTTTTTTCCCTACTCGTGTACATGTTCAAGCATATGATTGATTTGAAGTTAATTGTTGTAGTATTAATTGAACTATTAATTATCTTGGGTCCTTCTTGGCCTTAATATCTCCTATAGTACATCGAGGAAATGTTGCACAAAGTCAAACATGAAGAGAGGCTCTGCTTAGCATGTCAATCTCCTGATCATTTTTCTGCTTATATGAATAAAGACAGCCACTGTTCTGAACGGCATAATAAATTGCCTGGTATTAATGAGAAGCTCCAATCTCAAATTCTTTTGCAGGAAATGGTCCCTTCTCGGACACAATGCTCGAGTGACAATCATGTTACTCAATCTTGGAGTGTTGGGGAGCACTCAAAACGTTTGGTTGGGTCAATAGAAGGTGGATCATCAAGTTCTGTTGGCTGTATCAGTTCAAAACCTGATTTTTCCAAGTTGAAGGATGAAATATGCCTGGATAATTTATCGATTAAAGAACTTCATGAAGTTTTTAAGGCAACATTTGGACGAGACACTACTGTCAAGGATAAGCAGTGGCTTAAAAGAAGGATTGCCATGGGATTGACTAATTTTTGTGATGTTTCAACTGCAACTTTTGTAATTAAAGACAATAAATTGGTGAAAAAGGGTAAAGAAGATAGTTGTAACAATGTGAATCTTTCTACTGGCATAGAACTCCCAGCAGTTGGAGTTGAATACCACGAGGACTTGCTGAATAGCCATAGTCATCAAATAGATGAGCATCAAACTACTTCTGGGATGAGATCGGGAAACAATGGAGTGGAAGACAATTGTGGAAGTGAACCTCTTGCAGCAGATCAGAGAGCTGCAAAGAGAGTACGGAGGCCAACAAAGCGATATATTGAAGAACTTTCTGAAGCAGAGTACAAAGAGTACCGTGGCAGGTTAATTTCATCAACTAAAAACATTGAGATTAGACCCTTGGCTTCAAAATCTCATGCTAGGCCTGCTAGAAATGTGTCCTTGGAAGGGAGAACTGTTATGATGAGATTGGATTCCTTTGGAGGATCTGGGATTCAGGTTCCATGTGTTTATCGGGTTCGAAGAAGCCAGCCAAGGAAGAATGTCATGGCTCTTTTGGTATGTGAAAAGGATAAAATACTGCTTATCTTTCTCAGCAATAAGAATTTGGCTTTGAATATCTATGTCTTTGAATTTGTTGTTTGCTTTTGGAAAGAACATTCTGATATTCCCTACATGCTTCCATAATCCTGTGCAAAAGTATGCATTTGTATTGCAGCTTTCTAGTCGGTTTATGACTTTATTCATCAGTGTCCATTTCTGACCTGAGCTTTTTCAACTTGAATGGATAAGAGTAACTTCTAATATTCAGGAAGTCAGGTATCACCTGTGAATTGAATGTTTTGTTACTTCTTGGTTTGACCCAACTCTTATGGGAATTGTGTTTAATCATACCTTATTAATAATCTATCACCTGTGTTACTGGTATCTTGTGGATAGTAGAGGTTATGGTACTGATGCAACTTGAATTGTCTTATGCAGAAATTCCATCCCAGTGGCATTGGCAGGACAGCTACGTTAGTAAGGAAGTGTCTTGATGTACATGGTTCTCAAATGGACAATGGGAGTGTGAACAAAGTTTTGAAAACCAAATCTGCTCCTGAGCAAACTCCACAACAGGTAAAAGGAGTAAATGATATCTATGACATTAACCATGTTACACCTTGTATTTTTTTAGCTGATTGTAACTAAACTGTTTTTGCTTATTCGGCATTCTGTTTCTATATTCAGTATGTAGCTGAATCCAAGAAAGAGAGGCCATCAGCCGAGCTGGGGCAGAATATGGGGCTAAAACAGGATACTTCAGATGGTAATGTTGTTACTGTGCGAACAGCAAAAGGTGGAATTAGAAGGAAACATCATCGAGCTTGGACTCTCTCTGAGGTTATGAAGCTAGTTGAGGGTGTGTCTAAGTATGGAGCCGGCAGATGGTCTGAGATTAAAAGGCTTGCCTTTGCATCCTATTCATATAGAACCTCTGTTGATCTCAAGGTATGCATATTGTATTTTTGTCAGTGAGTAAATCATGCTGAAAGGAATGAATTTTTGCCATATGATTAAACTGAAGAATTGGTTTGTTAAAAAAACCATATAGAATTGGTTAGGACTTTAGGAAAAATAATTTTTCCTGATTATTTTGCAGGACAAATGGAGAAATCTGCTGAAAGCTAGCTTTGCCTGGACACCTGTGGACAAAGGGGTGAGATATCAAGTTTTTTTTTTTTTTTTCTTTCTCAACGATGTCATCGAATAATAATGGCACAACAAATCTCACCGGAATCATCCTCTTCATTTCTTCCAATAATGAACAGTTTTTCTGCATGCTCCATTTGATTCTTTCCTCGAAGTGTTCTCTGGTGGAACAGCAAACATGAGAAGTGACATTTGTTTCAACATTTATGGTTTTGTTGTGGTTAACAATGCAGGTAAATTCACGGAAACATCCTGCGATGCCCATCCCTGCACCAATTTTGTTACGTGTGAGAGAGCTTGCTGAGATGCATTCACAGGTTCCACCACCAAGTCATTGTGCGAGCAAGCAGGCTGCATGTGGTGGCAGAAGTGTATATGAAACACGACCAGGATACTCGTAACATTGTATATAATAGATTTTAGTTTTCTAAACTAGAAACAGGATTACTCTAATTCCTCTGTACCATCTAGAAATAAATAATTAAAAAAAAACCGTTTTCTTAAAAATTGATAATTTTGTCTGAATGTGCAGGTGAGTTTCTTTTAACATCTATTTACTGTGCTAACTAGGTATTCTTGGTTTTTGAACCAGATTGACCTTTCAATAGAACTCATGGAGTTGAAAACTTGGAATTGGTGAGTTAACATAAAAAGGTAAATTTTATATGAAATTTCTTAAATAAAATATGTAAAAAATTTTTATTAAAAATAAGTAAATAAAAATTTTAATAAAAAAATTTTAATTGATAGATTATTAAAATTTAAATGAGAAAATTAATAACATATAAAAATTTATTAAAATATTATTTATAATTTAAATTTGATCAATATTTATTAAATGATAAAAATTTTATTTATATTTTTATTAAAACTATTTATTCATTAAATATATTAAAAATTTTAAAAATTTTACACGTTTGATTAATGTAATAAAATTTTTTAATTTTTAATTTTTGTTTATTTATTTTTAATAAAATTTTTTACTAATTTTATTTACAGAACTTCACGTAAATGTTTCAATAAGAATTTCGTTATGTAAACTGTCACTGCTTGACGCGGTACTTGCTAGGGTGTAATCTGAGTTGGAAACATTTGAGTTCAGTTCGATTCGAAAACTTGAGCTTGACTAGAGTTAAGGTGAATTTTATTTTTCAAGTTTGATTCGAATTTTCGTTTAACTCGCTTTTGTAAATTTGATTAAGTTTAATAAAATTATAAATAATAACATCAAATGTTATATTTTTGTTATTTGTTTATAAATATTTGAACATAAATTTTGGATTGGACTCGCATGCCTTTTGAGTTAGTCGAGATTGATCTCGACTCGATTCAATGAATCGAGTTTAAGTTTTTTTTTTTCCGAATCGAGTTGAAGTAGTTTAGGATTGACTTAAACAATTTGACTCATTTACCGTTAGTAATTGCTAATAGTCCAAAACCAGTAATCCAGATATGTGGCCCAAAAAGCTTAATACCCTAATTGGGCTTTCAAAATCAAGTCTTTTTTTTTTTTTTTTTTGAGACAAGCCCTTCTAGTGTGAGGTTCAACTCGCTGCTCATCCTCTTCTCTGAATCGCCTTTCACTCAGTTCCGGTGAGTCATTCACTAAACAAATTTTTTCTCTTTATTTGTTTATTGCAGTCAGTTCTATACAGTTATGAAGATACTATAAAAGGATTTTCTTTTTTGGTTTTTGCTCAATTATTTATAATACCTACTTGCCTTTTTTTATCGGATATATGATCAACAATCAACTCCCTTTCCCTCTCATCTTTTACATTTATGATCAACAACCAAACACGACGCCATCGTTGATTTTTTTTTTCCAAACTGTTTTTCTTCATCTCGTGGTATAATTGGGTTTTCGTTCAAGTTTAGTTTTTCTTTCATTATGTATTCATTTTTTGCATGGATTATGTAGGATTTAGCTCTACTTTTTTTTACTTATATGTATTTTACAAGCATCTGTAATTACACCTACTGTGTCCTTGTTCTTATCTCATTTTAGTGGGTAGTCTTGAACTCAGGTGAAAATGGGGATTATAGAGAGGATTAAAGAAATTGAAGCCGAGATGGCTCGAACCCAGAAAAACAAGGCCACAGGTATATATCTTTATCTCTTTCCAATCATATTCATATTTACTTGTATATATGAACTGAAGGTTCTTTTTACTTCAATTCAAAGCCATTTTTAGTTGTTAGTATTTCATAATTATTGATCCTATTGAAAACATTGAATCCGTTAACTAATGTTTGTTTTATCCAATACACAGAGTACCATCTCGGTCAGCTCAAGGCAAAGATTGCAAAGCTAAGGACACAATTACTAGAGCCACCGAAAGTATGGATGTTTCTTATCTAAAATGTATTGTTTTATATGCATATCATGAATGCATATTTGTTTTTTTTTGGTAAATTCTGCATTGCCACAGTTTAGTGTACTTGTTGTGCCTACTAATAATGTTACCATCGATCTTGACATCTTTTTAACAATTCCTAAGTCTTGAATGGACTATCAGTTTCCTATTATTTTAATTGTTTTTCATTGTTTAAGCTGTAGGTTCTTTTCTAATTTCTTGTTGGGTTGGTCTCTTTCTACTATAACTTTACCCATATATAACTGCTCAAATAAGTTAATTATTCTTGCGTCATTGGCTAGATATTTAATATATTTTAAAAGTTGCAAATGATTAAGCTGTTTGTTGCCTGGCTGGTAATCCATGCATCAGGGTTCTAGTGGAGGTGGAGAGGGTTTTGAAGTTACAAAATTTGGTCATGGACGCGTTGCACTAATAGGATTTCCAAGGTCTGCACCTTTATCACTCGAATGCGTGAGTCTTTATTTTTTGAATAAGAAATTAAGAACTATTGACCACTTTTTCATTTGGCAAAGGTGGGAGAGAAGCCCATTCATGTAGAAAGATGATTTTTTTTTTTTATCTCACTAAGATTAAAATATTGATGGTATTACTCACTTACTGCCAGTACCTTCGTTCTGCCATCCCTCTCTAGCTTGCTTGCTCCATCTACTTGTGCAAATATGTAGGAAAATACATGTTGTGCTTTCAGATTAGTGCAAATACGCATTTGTACATATATATACTTGCAGACTTGCATTGGTGCTCTCCGTGGACATTCTCTTTGGAGAGGAAGCTAACTATTGCATTGTGCTGCGATTGCAGTGTGGGGAAATCAACCCTTTTAACAATGTTAACAGGAACTCATTCAGAAGCCGCATCTTATGAGTTCACAACACTTACATGCATTCCTGGTATCATACATTACAATGATACTAAGATTCAACTGCTTGATCTTCCTGGAATTATTGAAGGTGCTTCTGAAGGCAAGGGACGTGGGCGGCAGGTAAAATTTAGTGGCTTCTAGTCTTATGTGGTGATATGTGTTGCCATCTCTTGTGCATTAAAGGTATTGTTGCCAAGTGAGGGAAATCGTCATAAAATATTTACTAATGTTGTTTGATTAAATGTTTAACGTGCTCCTTGGTGAATATTATATTGAAGTTGGGGTTAAGGGTAGTTTACACATACATTGAAAATTTCTATTAAGAAAAAGATAATATATTGTGCTTTCTTTTGCATACTGTTCAGCTCTAGGATCTGTTCTATCCATTCTTATGCTCTATTTTTTTTTATTCAAGATATTTTACGAGACTGCTCGTTTCTCAGGTTATTGCAGTTGCCAAGTCATCAGATCTTGTGCTTATGGTTCTTGATGCCTCTAAAGTAAGTATCTATACCATAATAGTAGTTTTTGGGTTGAACAATTGGTGGTCTTCTGTACTATAGTATGGTAAAATTCTTGATTAGGATCCTCGTAAGATGTTATTATACCTTAGGAACTTAATAGAGCAGTGTTTAATGCTGTTCTGATCTCAGTGTCAGAATTGTTTAGGAAATATAAAGAGATAATTGATAAGCATGGAGGGAAATCAGTCTCTCTCTTTTTCCTTTAATTTAATGCAAAACAGCCTGGCATTGAACATCTAAGATTGTGTGATTGTAAGATGCAAAATAGTTTTTCCTGATTGAAGCCTTCCCAATTACCTGCATGTGTGTAATGTTTGCTTGTCATGACATTCATTCTTTCTTCTGGACTGTTGTCAGAAGAGGTTTTAGTTCTACAGTACTCAGTAATTGTCCAGAATCATTCTTTCTTTTCCTCTTCTTTTTAATACTCATTTCACTCTTTCATTTTTCCTCTAACTAGGAGTCTTTCCATTCATGTTCTTGTAGTTGTTCATACTTCAAGCTTTCAAGTGACTACTAGTGCTTCAAACTGTCAGACAGACATTAATGTAGTTTTAATGTTTACATTTGCTATAGTTTTTTCAGTGCTGTCACTACTTATATCTGTTTTCTGAATTCTGAATATTCATCATTGTTGTTGACTTGCTTTACCATTAAACTTTTAGGGGTCATGTTAGTTTGCTGTTGTTGCTTCTCCTGTTTTTATCAACTCATCCTTTATGCCTGTGTAATATGCTACAAAAACTTCAGAGTGAGGGTCATCGCCAGATATTAACCAAGGAACTGGAAGCTGTGGGTTTGCGTTTAAACAAGAGACCACCTCAAGTAAGTGTATCCTGAACCGTTGTCTATGTGGTATTGTTAATTATATATTAGGTGCATCTCTAGGTTTTGACGTATTGCATTGCCATTTGCCTAAATTAAAAGGAAATTGTGAATTATTTTTTAAAAATATCCTTAGAGTATGTTTTGCTGTAGTCTTTTTCTTTATGTGTTTCTTTACTTCATTTGCAGATATATTTCAAAAAGAAAAAAACTGGAGGAATCTCTTTCAACAGCACTTTACCTTTAACTCATGTAGATGAGAAACTTTGTTATCAAATTCTACATGAATACAAAATTCACAATGCGGAGGTATGCAGTCTTGTACTGATTAAATTTCATATTTGATTGAATTGATTCATTCTTAAAATTGGAATTTCTCTCTAATTTATTCCTGATGCGTTCTTTTCAGGTTCTATTTCGTGAGGATGCCACAGTGGATGATCTTATAGATGTAATAGAAGGAAACCGCAAGTACATTAAGTGTGTATATGTTTACAACAAGATAGATGTCATCGGTATCGATGATGTGGATAAGTTAGCTCAGCAGCCAAATTCTGTTGTCATAAGCTGCAATCTGAAGGCATGTTTTTTGATCCTTGTTTAAATGTGAATGGCTTTTAGTAATATAAAGAAATGTGAATGGCAGTTAAGGAGTATTATTGTTTTTAAAATGCAACTTGTATCTTCTAACGACATGTTCAGAACCTGTTAACCTGTTATCGCATTTATTGGCTTTTGGCTAGTCTGTAATAATCATTTATTTGATGAGATCTGATGCTTACTGCATTCTCTTCCTCGTGCTTCTTTGATGTTCATTGTCCATTACCTGCCAAAGGTATACTAACATGCTGCTTACTATATATCAAGAACACAACGCAAGGAAGAAATAATTGCAGAAAAATATTGCTTATTACTGCCATATTTGATGCATGTGATGTTTGAGAAAAATGTTGACCTACATATGCTTGTTGTTTGTGCAGCTGAACTTAGATAGACTACTTACGAAGATGTGGGAAGAGATGGGGCTTGTGAGAATATATACAAAACCACAAGGCCAGCAACCTGATTTCACTGATCCTGTGGTTCTTTCTGCTGTATGTCACATCCATTCTTGTCATTGCATTTACCTCTAATAGTCTATACTGTTAAATTTATGCAGCAGGAAGTTCCCCGACTGTTCTTTCTCTTATTCCATTTTTTTCTTGTCATGACTCGTAGGATAGGGGTGGCTGCACAGTGGAAGACTTCTGTAATCATATTCATAGGAGTTTGATAAAGGATGTCAAATACGTTCTAGTCTGGGGTACAAGTGCAAGGCACTACCCTCAACATTGTGGCCTTGGGCATGTTTTGCAGGATGAAGATGTCGTTCAGATCGTCAAGAAAAAGGTATTATAAACTGCTAACTCATGTTCGTAGTAATCTAATGCTGTCTGAATGGGCTTCAGTCAACATAATGCTTTTCCAACAATTTAAGACCTTGCTTGGCTGTGGGAACGGAACGGTCTTTTAATGAAAAAGAAATTAAATGATAGCGATTTGGATTTTCCAGGAAAAAGAGGATGGAGGGAGAGGCCGCTTCAAATCACATTCAACAGCTCCAGCTCGAATATCTGATAGAGAGAAAAAGGCTCCCTTGAAGACCTAACCATGTGCCCATGTTCGTTACTCAGGAAAAGAAGTCGAGGGGTGGAAGTAAAAGAGATGATTTGTTCTCCTTAATCAAGCACTAAAGATCAAGTTTGATTTGTTCTTCTTTTCAAATTCCTCCCTCCCATTAACAGACCCCTTTTTCTTCTCTGGATTCTATTTCTACTTGCAGCTGTATTTCATATGTACTTGGATGCAAATTTTGGTCTTTGCACTATAAACCATTATTCTAAACTTAGTTTGATTCTATATCACCCATGACTTCCAAATTTTCTTTCTTTTTTTGCAAAATTTGCTTGCAAATTACAGTATAGGGTTTTCAAACTTAAAAGTGAAAATAAAATTAATCAAGAAAAAAATCACAAATTGAAAATTTTAGATCATGTTAATATATATCTATATTTTTTTGAAGTACATGTTAGTATATTGTTAAATTTTTACTGTATAAACAATTCCATACAAAGAATAGATTAAAAAAATTACCATATCAGAATATATATAAAAATTTAAAAAGTTATATCTTCACTAAATATCGGCCTCTATACAGTGAGCATTCTGTTCAATGTTTCTTTCCCTTTTTGTTAGTACAAAGAAATTTCATCCCAGATCAATTCTTTAATGGCCAAGCTGCAAAACCTATACAGACAAAAGCTCAAAAGCCTCAATTTTTCCTCACCACTAATGGGTATATATGCGAGTAGATATTCTCGCAGTTGCAGGTCAAGTATTTTTTATATACTAAAGTAATTACCAGTAGTGATCAAAACCATAATAACAGTCAGACCAAACTTTGATATCAATCTTACATCACAAAGACAGATACCTAAATGTTTTTCGATCTTTATGATTAGATGTAAATCAAGCCGATTGCCATGATCCTGAAACCAACCACACTACTGTGGCCGCATCTATCGATAGTCAAACTTTTTCATTAATTTTTTTGTACAAAAATAATGTTGAAATTTTAATTTTAAATTTATTAAATTTCGAAAATTTAATTTTGCCTTATCAGTGTTATTATGGCAAATTAGTTGCAGTCTCATTCAATCAAGTGATGTGTCGATCTATTGACCAAGTAAACTCTCTCAGACTTTCAAAACCCAAAAAAAAAAAACCTTTCTCTTTTTGGGACAATGAGTGTGAAATGACGTCAAATTTGGGCATCAATCAACACCAAACACATGGCTGTATTTTGTACCATCTTCTAATATCTGCTTGTGTATTAACTTTTGCCGAAACTTGGGCGCCTGATTTGGCTCATGATCGCCTGCATATCTGTTGATTAATACAGCTTCCAACTTCGTCCTTGACGTTGAATTCACTAATTAGCTAGAGATCTTCCCAATTTGTCAGTTTTCTAGAAAAATCAACGGTAAAATTCTACAATTAATATGGACGCCTTAGAAGATTATTTCTCTGGCGGAAAAATGTCATTATCTTTTGAAGCCTCATAAAATCTATTCAAGTATACAACGATAAAAAGCGTATGCGACTGACTACAATATGACTCGATAAAATACTATCAATGCAACTTTTTAAGAGGTATAGCTAGGAGCATATGAAGCGTCCAAAGGCAGGCAGTGGTGGGGCATTAGCATGCTTTAGCCTTTAGCCCTATATAGCTACTGCACAAGTGATTTGTCACTTCGATGAAATTATTGGCTTTTCCCACCAAGGGTTTTTACCCGTCAACGTGTCTGAAAACTTGTGATTCCAAGAGATCCCGAAAATGGCCGGAGCAAAACGCATGAAGTACGTGACACTTGGCAATTAGGCCATTACTTGCTTTGTTTTTTTTACCTAGTATTTATCTGACTTGTATATGCAAGTCACTGTCATCCCTAGTTGTTTTTACCATCATTGCTATGATTGTATGTTCAAAATATATTGTTCAAAAAAACAGCCAAGGGCATGCATGCACCGAGTCCTTGGCCATCATTTTCTCCATGATTATTGTTGCATCAAACCCATGGCATGGCTAATTTTAATTAGGCCGTTACTGTTTCATTGGTTTTTCATTAAGTCATTATCATGTGAATTACTTTCGAAGTCTCCGACGGAGATTGACGAGAAGAAAAACAGTATATTATACTATCAAAATACGATGTTCAAGATCACGACTGGCGACATATGAGCTTAGAAATTTAGAAGACTATATATATTTAGGAACTTAGCCTTTTGAATTTTCTATATAGCTTGTAATATCCAATAGTGTAATTTCATTTTCAAAGCCATGCTTAAAAATGTAATCAAATTGGGATGATAGTCTCTTCCGAACTAATTCTAAATTATAAAAATCTTTAATTACTTGAAAAATTTTTGTTATAATTTTAATAAATTTTTTATTTTTTGAATAATCTTAAAATATTATATGAAAGTTTATTAATTTACCAATAAGTAATTGATTTAATCAATTAAAATTTACTTTTTTTATGAAAAAATTTTAGATTCAAATATTAATGATGATCACTTATTAAAATCATTTCGAATATATAATTTATAATCATTTATTTTAAATTATAAGATAGTGCACATTTTATTTTGATATAAAAAATTGAATAACTTATTTATATTTGAATATTTTGAAATAAAAAAAATTATTGATTTGAATATTAAAAACATAAAATAAACTGATAAAGTTTTATTACTTGTTTTAATGGAATCTGTGACATTTTTATATATAATTGAAAAAAAGGTGAAAAAAGTATTCTGGATTAGAATATAAATTTAAGAGTTGGAATGGCGGCAGAAATCCTAATCTTTGATAAGGATAAACAAGCTGATTAGAAGAATAGGGGCATTATCTCCTCTGTCTCTGATCTTTGTAAGAGGAAAGAAAAGCTGCTGCTAACCAAGCAAACAAACAAACAGTTTCATTTATATCTTCTTGGGATTACCAAAAATTCTCTTTTTCTCTCTCATCAGTGTCTGTCTTTCTCCACCAAAAAAAGCCTTCTTTTTCCTCTTTTACTAAAGGTGGCCTCCCTTGTCTCCACCATCTACATTTTATAAATTTTCTAAACTACCCATGCCAAAAGCTAATTCCCATCCATTTTGCCATGGGCATATGGGTCATCTTGGCAATCAATGGTGGGGTTACCCACACGTGCTAGGATGAAGGCAGGCAATAAGGTTAAAAGAGAGGGAATTTAGGGTCTGAAGTCTTTTTTTTTTTGTTAGCGGATCTCACGGGGATCTTTGAAGGGAAGGTCACACGTGTGCATGTGTGACAGGTGTTGAACATGCTGGCCACCCAGCACATCACGTGCGTCCAAAAGTGTTTTCTTTAATTTCTTTCTTCACTCTTTCACTCATCACACACTTGCAAACTGTATTTGCTTCCCATTAATTTGATGTCTTTCTCTCTTTCAGTACAATAAAATTGTACAGTTGTGTCTTCAGCTGGCCTAGTGGTCAAACAAATTTTAAGAAGATATCAAAGCTGAAGTTTGACTTCAATCTCTTAAATAATATATTATATTCACATAAAATATGTTAAATATGATTAATTTTATAATTTATTATTTTTTTTATAATTTTAATATTTTATATGATAATATATAAATTCATCGTATGATAATATCATTAAAAATTTAACATTAAAATTTACCGTCAAATACAGATAATAAAAAAGCTTTTATTGACATTTCAAATTTAAATTACGTTATTTTTATCATAAATTAAACATTTTATTTTACATATCGTCTTATTTTATATAAAAAAATGTGACATGCTTTAGTACCAGTGCATGTGTTGGACTCCGTTTCATCTTGCTAGCTAACTGTTTCATCTTTTCTTTTTTGTTCTATTTTACATTACATTTTGTTTGAATTTGAACAAATCAACCATTCTCTACCATTCCACTCAAAAGAAAAAGAAAATGAAGATGAAAGCAATGCTAAAAATTCATTTTCTTTTGAGAAATGCAATGCAAAGATATAAAATTTTAAATTACTATCAATAAAAGTTAACACAAATGATTAAAATTTAAAGTTTAAATGTAAAGTATCCATGATTGAATTCTCATAATCCTCGATTGATAAGTGGTCTGTAAGTCCAAAAAATCTTAAAAGATCCATAAATCCTTTTGTATATTGACGATTTATCTTGAATTTGAAAATAAGATAATTTTTTTAACTCTTAAACTTTTTGTGACAAAAAAAAATTATTTGTGAATTATAAACAATTACATTATTAGTGTTAAGACTTGTTGTGCATGATGGTTATCAAATTATGAACATGCTCTTTTTGTTACTTTTTAATACATTTTTAATCACTATTACATGTACAATATTAAAAATCATATATAATCCGTAATTAAATATTAGATGCTACGTATATCTGTAAATTAATAATAGATGCATTAAAAATAATGGAAAGAAACCAACCTTATCCCGCTCTTCCCAATTTTGTCAGAGAAAGAAGTCAAATCTAATTTTTAAATAAAAGAATTAATTTATTGGCTTAGTTCTATATATAAACTCTGATGTAGTAATATATATACACATACATAAAATTTTGATACCTGCATTATGTACATGTAATTTTTGTCTTTAAAATTTTATTTTAATAAATAATTTTTTTATATTATGATAATAATGATAAATAATAATTTAATTTTGATTTTGATATAATATAAGTAAAATTTGATAATTTTTTATATAATTTTAATTTTGATAACTTTTGATAAAATTTTAGAAAATTTCAATACAATTTTAGTAATCATTGATAAAATTTTGGCAACTTCTAAATGTAATTTTAATAATTAATCTTTTAGTAACTTATAATATACTTTTAGTAATCGTTAATAAAATATATTTAATTTTGGATTCTATAAGAAAGCACGAATTCAATTTTAGTATAAGATAATTTTTTTATATAATAATAGTGTTGTTTCATTTAAATTTAAAATTTTTTTTCACTAAATTTTTTTATTAAATAGATTTGTGGTAGGTTTAACTAAGTTTCTTAAGATAAAATTTCTAACTTCATTTCTACTAGTAGTCAATGTTCAATTCCTAACAATTTTAAGTCTAATAAGCGATTTACCACTAACTTATCAATGATATATTATTAAATTATCAATGATTTACAACTAAATTAGCATTAATTTACTATTAATTTATAAATAATTTATTACTAAGTTATTAATAATTTACTATTAAATTATTAATGATTTACTACTAAGTTACTGAAGATTTATTATAAAATTATAACTGATTTATTATTGATTTATCAATGATTTACTATAAAACTATAAA